TTTTTTTCTCTGCGATGTATGTAAAATTTTGTATACGGAAGAAGTTATATATTTGGCAAATGCAAATACGCGCGCAATATATAATTCAACACTGCTAGCGTGAAAGAATTCCAATAACTCACATTCGTTTTCGAGCGTTTTACACGGAAAAGGAGTGTTCCTTTTTTTTCCAAGTCGTCGTTGTAACATTCGTTTCGCGCTTTCATTCGCGTGAAAAATGCAATCAATCCCGTTAATATACGGAAACTTTAAAAAAGTTCTCGCGAGGAAAAAGGGCTCAATTAAAAATGCATGTCTAAACGCGAAACTGACACGTGTGAATTCTCGGATTCGTGTCCTTGTTTATCGTCGGAACGAAGACGCGAAATATATGTATATCGACTTCTTTGCGGATGTATCAGTTTTGGGATCTAAAGAGGGAAACCTTGGATTTTGCAGGTGAATGCGCACGATAATTGTCCGTCTATTGTTTATCTGTGGCCGAACAGAACTACTACGCGCGTCTCAAAGTGCACACTCGACTAATAGATAACGGTTATCACACGCGCAGCGTTTCGCCGACTACTAATTACGGTATAAGTTACAATGCAATATCACGTGGTGCGTTTAAAAGAGGTTTCGAGGCCGTCATTTCCTCATTTTCGAAAATCATCGTCGATAACGGTCGTTCGATTTCCCGAATGTAAAAAAAAGGAATCGTATCGCACATCGAAAGAATGCTGCGCAAAAGTCACTCGTTACGAAACGCCGCGAACTTAATCTCATGTAAATCCGCGGCGTCCCTCGCGCCAGGTATAGCTTCTGTTACAACTACGGATTGAGTTTATTCGAAAAGAAACTGATTGGATTATTCATTCACACTCTATCTATTTGTAGTAAACTCGAATCTTGAATACAATGAAACGGTCTGACATAATATTTGCCGAGGTGAATTTCGAGGTCGTTTAATGATATCATTGATGTCGTCATCGTGCGTTTACCATTCCGAGTATTTATGTTCGTCTGATATTCTATCCCTTTTTGTCTACTGTTTAAATCTTATGAATTCAAACACACACACGGAGATAAACAGACAGACAGATAGAGAAAAAGAAAGAGAGAAAAGAGAGAGGGGGAGAGAAAAAAGGGAGAGAAGAGAGAGAGAGAGAAATAGATAGAGAGAATATTTTATATTATACATTTATATGTATTTTATATTACATTGATCTCTCTCTCTCTCTCTCTCTCTCTCTCTCTCTCTCTCTTTCTTTCTTAAAGAAAAAAACATATAAAATAAAATATAAATAGCACACGCATATGCAAATTAAGCTATTAACTTTTTGCAATATTATGTTCCGTTTATAATATGATTCCTACTGTATCTTTCGGGAAGATGATGATAATTTGTGTGATAAATTTTATAAATATATGTATATATATAGTTATAATGTCAAATATTTATGCAATGTATTCTCTACGTACTTTTAATTGCTCTAAACTTTCCTGTTATGCGACGCACACAGCTTACGAAGTCGTAAATTGTGATTATCATATTACGTCTTTATCAATGCGAAATATTCAATAATCTCTTCTCTTCGCTATGCTATATAAATGATCGCTACAACAACTTATTACGTAATCGCGTTTACAAAAAAAAAAAAACAGCAGCGCTCAAGAAAAATTTTTACAAATAAAATTATGCCGCTTTTAATTTTTTCACTTTTCCACTCTTGAAAAGAGAGACGCGAATGATATAAAAAAAAAGCTGGAATATATAAAACCACAGCATAAGAGTCACATTAAATTTGCAAATAAAGGCTTACACGATATAATTCCATCAAGATCAGATTTCTCGATGCTACGAATGCATAAGATGATCTTCGTTCACGATGACTGGCACAAGATACACTTCGTAGCATCGAAAATTTTCGATTTGTGGAAGTTATACAAGTTTCGACGTCTTGACAATAATACAATTGTCTGGTCGCAATAATACAATTGTCATCTTACCGAAGTACACGGGTTTGTCGCACTTTGGGCAATTCGGCATCTCGTTAAGTGTACCGGCTCCTAGCTCGACGAGACTGTACGTCTAACTAACGGAAGGATGCTCTCAGCGGCGTGGCCAGACGCGTACTGGCCCTGAGAGGCCCGGCAAGGTAATGCGACGCTCTCTCCAGTTGATTGAGCGTGTGAACGTGTGTTAAGGCTAACGGCTGCACAAACCGAGAGTCCGGCCGTGGCCGCGTGTGTTTTAAGCGGTAGGGCAAATGTTACCTGTGCTCGTGTCGTTATGCAATTCCGTGTGCGAGCATCTACGCGCGTCCGCAGTATAACGTACGTACACATACAGGATGTTTTGGGTACCCCGTCTGCTTTATGGAATTCTTTAGCAGCTGACATTAATAAACTTCATCTCGATAGAATCTTCCCGCAGCTCTCTACAACGTTATTTCCTCAATATAGAATTATAACAGAAACTACCAATTCATTTATTGGCTTTGCTTGCTCCAGACATCAATTATATAATCTAAATTTTATATCAATTCTCTATATCAATATTGAGAATCTAAAATTGCATATAAATAAGATCAGTTTTCTTTATTTTTTGTTTTCTTTCACTTACTAGACATTGCATATAAAATGTAAATTGCTAAATAAAATATATTTTTTATTTATTACTTCCTTCTTTTTTTCACTTTTCATTTTGTAATCAAGTCCTGTATATCTCAAAAGATTACATTCTAAGATTATAATAAATATCATTCATTTATTTTCTCTTTCACCTATGGATTCTTTATTCAATTAAAAAAAAAATGATTGCTTAAGAAATATATCGAGACATTAACAGCTTTTATATGTACTATATAAACTCGACTTTAACAATAAGTTGATCGAAAAACTAGCAGAAAAATATGTGTAGAGAATCCAGGACACTGTACGTGTACTAGATACTAAACTAGTAACGGACGGGGCTCGAAGTTGGCTTCATTCGATGCGTTCGTTCCTTTCTTCTATCACGCTACGGAGTAATCCCGTTAGCTCTATTGTGAACAAATTTGATATCAAAACCGCGCGACGCAACGCAGGTTCACGAGTATTCAGATCGATAGTTCGTTATGCGCGAATATAACGGAACAGGAGATATCGAGAGGTATCGAACAGCGGAATGCACTCGCTTCGAAGGTATTTACTCATAAAACTGCAACGCGATATCCACGAAATTAATTAATTATCGGAATTTGGGTCGGGGGAGGAGACACCGCGTAGCTACGCCCACGTAACCGGAGGGCGATGTGGAAAATTTCGCTGTAAATTTTGGAATTTATTTTAACGAGATTATACAAATATCCGGGGCCGTGAGTTATTCGCCGCTGTAAAAATTCAACGTTGCAATCTTTACCTTTCCGCGATGCGATGCGTGCACGTGTTGTACGCGCGCGCTAATAGAATACGAGATCTTTATATCCGATAATAGCGGCTGTGTAAACATAGAAAAGAAAACATCGGATACATCTCAAAGTCCGCGCGTAATTATAAGTCAATTAGATTATTTACGAGCTACGCGGAATATACACGAATTAATGCTATATTAAAACGCATCCGCTTCGAATGCCACATCCGCTTGATAGCGAATAGATGCCTGCGTTAATTGCTCGCGTTGTGCGCCAGTCGCTCGCGAGCGTTATGAGAATCGCGGGCCCGTGATTAATTCGCATCGTCGACATGAAGGAAGAGATGATGAAGAAATGCGATCCGGATCACCTCGCGCTCGTGTTGGCGATCGAGAACGGCGAGTTCGATCGAGCGAGCGAGATTTTGGCGCGCGACAGTCAAAATAAATACGTTCATCCGGTGGGTGCTCTCCAAGTGACGGCCCTGCAGGTGGCCGCGTGGCAAGGGAGGATAGATCTGTTGGATCAACTTTACGAAAAGGGTGCTTGCGTAAACGACATGGATAAAATCGGCAGAAGCGCCCTTTACTACGCGGCACATCGCGGCAACATCGACGTGACGGAGTGGCTTCTCCGACGAGAAGGACACGTCGATGCCAAAACCGGGGTCTACTCGTGCACCAAGAACATCCCATATATTTCGCTGACAAAATCTTGTTTCGTTGGAGGAAAAGTTCGTATCGCGAAAACGATTATCGAAATTTTGTTCAGTTCAATTTGAAGAAAAAAAAAATTATTTTTTCTCGCATTTCTTCCCTTTCGTCGTTTCAGTTACCGACACCCATGTGCTGGGGAAGGACACCCTTACACCAAGCGGTAAAGAATAATCACGCCGACGTTGTGCGCGTTTTGGTGGAACACGGCGCGGATGTGAATGCTAAAGACGAACGTCTCATCACTCCGTTGCTCTTGGCGGGAAGCGCCGTGAATCGCGATGACCTCAAGGAGATGACTAAGTTCGTGGAGATAGTCAAGATTCTAGTCGCCGCGAAGGTGTTCGTCAACATTATTCATCCGGACACGGGTATTATTGGTCAATCGAGCGTTACGTAAAAGAATAGCGCTGTGTGTCATCGTCGCGGTTATACGGCTCGACCGCAAATTCGTCAGCGTCGAAAAAAAAACCTCCCGACAATGTCACACACCTGTATATACCATATCTCTATCATTCGAGTTTACAATCACGCTCAACTCCGCCAGGTACCACGGCGTTACATCACGCGGCGATGCTGGACAGCGCAGAAGCGACAGAGATATTATTGTCGAACGGCGCATGGCCGATGTATAAGTGCAAGAGTTCCAAAAGCACGCCGCTTCATATTGTCGCGAGTACGGGGAGCACGAAGACGCTGATGATCCTACTCGAGGCAATGCTATCTCATAACATTGACACTCGCGATCAGGTTGGTTTCATGCTTTTTCGCTTTGAGAATAATAAACGAAATTGCACCGAGATGACACTTCACTTCTCTTCGCTTAGATCAATCGTACGGCTCTTCATAGAGCAGCTTACCGGGGTCATCGCGAATGCGTACGAGTCTTGATCGAACATGGAGCTAACTTAGCCGCGACGACGAAGACCGGCATCACCGTCGTTAATGCCATATTCGCTCATATCCCGCGACCGTTGGCCTTTATAACGGAAATTCTGGATTCTTGCGTACGAACGACCAATAATTCTCCTCTAGAGACATACGATAATGTAAGAATTGCTTTACGTTGGACTCTTACGGATAGTGACAGATATACTGTCCCCGTTCTTACTTTAATATATTGCTGTTACTAAGTTCTGATGAATAAGACGTTTCTGTTAAAGATCACTGTCGACTTTGGTATATTGGCTCCGAAGCAACAGATGCAAATGGCAGTAGTCACGGCTGTTATAGCCGCAGCTTCGAATATAACGCAACTGGCAATATTACAGCATCCACTTGTGGAGACGTTCCTCAGATTGAAGTGGGCGAGATTAAGAATACTCTTTTTCTGTCTTGTGCTCGTACACTTGTTCTTCGTCATTTCCCTCTCAATCTATGCCATAATGTTTGTACGGGACGATACTGACCATGTAGTGTCTAGAAGAATTCTCGCAATCTGTTCCTGTTTTTTACTATTTCACAATATGATACAAGTTTTACTAGAGCCCAAGTAAATATGCGTTTATATAATTAAAATAATTAAAATTTACTAGAGAAAAGATATCTTAAAATCGACATATTTCTCAGCAATTAAGCGCAGAACTTTATTAAAACTGGTATAAGTTTGATTCGCGTTTAGTTAATTTATTTATTTTTACAAGAAATTCATATTTTTGCATTTATTGTTCGTTCATGCTAAACCAGCTTGTACCGAGAAATTTTTAAATTAAAAAAAAATGTTTATTTTTCTGTGACTTACTTTTCCACGGATTATATATTCTACATAGTGATAATAATAGAATATCCTCTTTAATAACTTTATGTTATTCTATGTGTTTATAGATTTCTAAATTTATTTTATTTTTATCTTTTTACCATGATTTTTACAGTTATAATTTTGAGTATTTAGTAATAAATTTCTTAGATTTCAATTTTTGTTTGCTTTTCAAAAAAATATTTGCTAAAGAAACAAAAATAATTTGAAACAATGTTATTATCAAAACTGTGGTCTGATATCTGAATATGATAGGAAATGATCTCTAATAAAAATATCTGTAAATATAAATTTTTATTTTATTTCAACTAGAATTCAAAAATAAAATCGTACATCGATTTTGATATCTTTTGTCTACATTTTTGAATGTTTAGATTAATCTATATTCAATTACATGTTTTCGAACATTTCAGACATTATTTGAGAGAATTCGAAACATGGTTGTCATTCATATGCGCTACATTATCTTTAGTGACATCGATAGCGGGCGAGTTCGCGAAGAATTCGAAAGAAGAAATTGAGTCACGTCACTGCGTGCACTGGGTATTGCATTCCATCAGCATCGCAATCTTGCTTAGCTGGTTGCAAATGATGCTATTAATCGGTCGAGTTCTAATGTGGGGATATTACGCGCTCATGTTCTCCAGGGTGTTGAAGAACATCCTGAAGGTTAGTAGAATAGTCATATTAGCTTTTATTCCACGGAATAAAAGCTAATATGATTAGATTTATATTTTTTACAAAAAATTTATCAAAATTATTTGGTTTTTCTTATAAAGTTATCGCGCAAGCTGATTTATTATACACACCCAGAAATATTATACACACATATAATATGTTGTAATATGTAACCAGTCGCGTGATTCGACGTATCTTTGTGCATAATCGTTGATCTCCGGACTCTATCGTTCGAGACTGATGACTCGCGCTTCCTATGACGAGCTCTTCAACCACGAGCACGGTTAAAAAACAAAGAGAAGACGAATGTGCAGACTCTGAAAGTCGCGGCGCGTCGACGATACGCATCCCATCGAGATCCCCTTGCCGCACACCACCCTCGCGATTATAATGACGTGCATCCGGAGCTTTTTACTCCCTTTCAGGTTCTCCTGGCGTTCGGCTACCTGATTGTCGGATTCGCGTTGAGCTTCGCCGTTTTGTTCCACGGGAACGACCAGTTTCGCGATTTCTGGAGGGCCATCGTGAGGACCGTGGTAATGATGATGGGTGAATACGAGTACGAGAAGCTGTTCACCGCCGAGAACGGCAAGAATGCTTTCCTACCGGTCACAAGCAGAATCATATTCTTCGTCTTCACCGTACTCGCCAGTATCGTCCTGATCAACCTCATGATTGGTCTGGCGGTCAACGACATTCAAGGACTCGAGAAGGAGGTACGAATAAAATTTAGGAACCAAAATCTCTCTCTCTCTCTCTCTCGCTTTCCTAGACTCTTTTACTTAAAAAAAAAATACATTAACATTGTCGTATCAGGGTCATATACGCCGATTATTAAAACAAGCGGAGTTCGTCGCGCATTTGGAGAGAGTGATGTCACACAGAATCTTCCGCGGCAATTGGCTACATCCTTACTTAAGAATGCTTCTACACTCTAGACGCGACATTCCCACAAAAATTAGACTCTTCTCGCGTGAAAAATATTTTCATCTCACGGAATCGCCTCCCAAGATTCCCGCCGATCTAATAGAAGCTTTATTTCTATTAGCCACCAAGACATTTAATAAGAATGATAAGTATGTATTACGCAATTGATAAAAGTACATTCTCACGTACTTCTAGCATCGAAGATTGAAATTAAATCTCGCTAATGCAATGACGTATTATTTTTTCAGTTTGGCAGGTAAAAATGTAGAGATTAGCGACACGAAACTGATTTCCATATTATCCAATTTAGAGGAACAAATCCGAGAATTGAAAATAAATTGTTATCGCAATTCAACGAACCGGACCTCGTCGAAACGGCGCGGACTCAAAAGAAATACTGTAAATTTATAGCATACATGTGCAACATTACAATTATTCATCAGTGTAACGAACGCGTATTAATCTGGCAGCGGCATTATTATAATCATGAAACCGAATCGTGATGAAGAATCTCGCTTTACTTTGCCGGTATAATATATAACAAGTGCTTTTTTTACAATAACAGAAGAATAACAGAGAAATACAAAAGAGCGAAACGCAATTGTGTGTATGCAACATCGAAGAATAACGGTAAGTCAGTAATCCACCTTGCCTTTTCAGCTGCATAAAGAGATCCAATACAGAGACACTCGGAAATGCCGTACAGATGTCACCACGAAACTGATTCGCGTTTCCGCAACCGCAAGCGGCTGAATCGCGTTTCATATCCACGCGTCGATTATTTTAAAATGAATTTAAATCCGCTCGGGATTTAAGGGACACTAAATTTTTATATTCCAACCACATTGTCAGCTGTGCGCGCGTAGATGCCTCCGCTTTATTGCCCCGCGATACGTTTCGCGGCGCGGCACTAAAGATAAAGAGCTCGGAGAGGAGGTTTCGTTGAAATTAGCGACGATCAGGCAAGATTTACGCGTAATGACCGATAAGGCTGAATTACGCGGTAATTAATGATATTTACGGTAGTACGTAAAACGCAGACTAGATCGTCGTAGAACCTCAAACGCGACACGCATATAGCTGTATCTCTGAATATATACGCCGGTATTAAAGATCTCTTTTATTTTTTCTCCTCTTTTTTTTTTTCGACCACGATGTGCGTTTAACCGGCACTTTTTCGTACGTGTGTGTGTGTACGAGTTCGCGTCTCCATATATCCGGCTGCTAAATAGCCGCGCGTAGTAACCGACGATATGCAGCGACGGCCGAGAATTGCCTGGCTCCGAAAAATATTGCGGAGCATAAATTAGAAGCCGGATAAGTATATTTGAGAAATGCAGCGTACGTAAATGCACGCTCTTTTTTTCAACGGTACACATCGTATCGCGGCGGCAAACTCCCACCGCAAAATCTCCGTGCAATTTCGCTGCCCTTTACTCATTTCTGGTATTTTTAATTTTTTTATGACGTGTCGCGATAATTTTATATGTAGAATTCCTGCATCGATGATACGGAAAAGAAAAACCTATTCGCGTAAAAAATATTGCAAAACTTCATTTTATCTATAATTATATATGAATATATATAAAAGTAAATTGCAATAGGCGAAATAGGTTGAAGGGTTTAAATAGTAAGAATGTTTTCAGAAACGATCGTGTAATGTTAATGGATAGATGTGTAATGGATAGATTCGCTGCATTCGGAAAGTTTGTGCGGTAGATTAATTAAAAATTTATTAAATATAAAAAAATAACGCACACATACGCATATAAACGCACACATACGCACAGTGATGCGGCTGAAATTTAGTTTGGGCAACGGTTTAAAAGGGAACAACGATAGAGCAAAAAGCGGGAGTCGAAAAACTCGCTTGAAGGGACTTGCGAGTGCAGGCGACTCTCTCATGCACCGATGCGAATTTAGATGCTTTCATGACGTATTAAATTCGCTTCGTACGTCGCGGTTCTGTATACGTTTCAACAGCACGATTTCGGATCGTAGTCGTAATTTCGGGAACACGGCGCTGTTTTCTCGATTTTTATCAGAGCAAACGCGGGCTATTCGGGATATTTCCCTCTCGGTTCGTACATAATTTTCACGTATTTGAAACGCGGAAGCGCGAGTTACGGAATAAAAGTACGCGGAAATGTATGATACAATATTATTTTCCTTCCCCCTTTATCGCGGACGCGAGTCGCAAATGAAAACAGAAAAGAATGATTCGGTAAAATCACGCTATGTGTGAGAAGAGATCCCATAATGTTTCTGACAAAATATATTTTCTTTTGAGGAAATCAATTTATGAATTTTTCAATAGCGCGCGAAATTTAGTTTCCATTCTAACGCCTATCTTCACAGACTACAAGTTTTTGTACTGTTTAAGATAATAAGAAAATCACGTATATTACGGATTTGTTCAGTAGGATTAATTATCCTTTCGAGAATATATTAATTAAACGCTGAAATTGGTTGTACAACGGGCGGTAGCGGACACATAAATTATCATAAATTACTACGTTCTTCGGCCGCTATGAAGAAATCACATGTGCACCTGCTCTAATGGCCTTCGCACACAGCGTTCGCCCATAGAAGCACAAATGCTCGCGCCCGAGAATAAATTCATCACGACCCCGCCATCTTTTCGCGCGCAATGAATATATAAATACACACACGACTATACATATCCGATAAATTTCGATTCGATAAGAGCATTGAGATTCGACTTTTCGCAGCGAGATAAGAACATTTCCAACATGCCCGGCGAGTAAACGCATTAACCGGCGACGAGCATGCTCGCGGCCGCTACGTCATTTGAGAATAAATAAATAAACAAAAAAAAAGAGTCGTTTGGATTTTCCTACCTTTTACCAGATGCGAGATAATTCTTCAAGCAGATAAACACTCACGTCGACAGTGACTCCGGGAACATCATTCGCGAACGGGAAGAAGAGCGATCCTCTCCCTCTCTCTCTCTCTCTCTCTCATCAACGACGATAATAATAACGCAACACGACGACGACAATAATAACAACGCGACAACACAAGGTTCGCACAGTGGCGTCGGAGTGAAGACGGCGCCGGAATGGATCGGGCGAGATCGGGCTCTCTCGGTCGCGATCGGCTCGCCGCCTTGCCTGCCATGACTGGCCGAGCGCGGCGTCGCGGGGGAGCGAGATGGCGCGTCGGTGAGGGAAACCGCCGCGGTGAATCCGGCGTCGTGATTGGTCGCCGCGTGGGAGAGCCGCCCGTTCGAGCTCACCGTCGCCGGCAGTCGGCACCGAGTATTCAAGTCGAGCGCGTCGAGGCATTCGGAGTCGCGGTGAGAGAGAGAATTATATATACGTATATATATATATATATATATATATATATACACATATTCATACAAGCACGGGGGGAACAACACGCAATCTCTCGCGAACGTCGCTCGTTAACACGTATACGGGCACGATGGCCGCCCGGCGCGTGTACCGTTCGCAACAAAAACAACAACAACAACAACAGTGCCGTACTTGTCGTCGTCGTCATCATCATCAACGTAGCGTCGCACTTGTCGTGCGTCGTGTCCCGCTCGCGGAATCGCAGCATCGCGCGCTCGCAGAAACGTCGCGGCCGCCGTCCCTGGCGTGCGGGTACGCTAGTACGCGCGGACTGTCGTCGCGGTGCGCGTATTGAAGAGTTTTCGTACGCAGCTAACGTCACCACGGAGAGAGAGAAACGCAAGCGAAGGAAGCGGTAACGGCGAGCGAAAAGGACAGCGCGCTCCTCGCTCCGCTGTAAACTCGGCGCATTAAATACGGTCTGCCTTCTATATACCACCTACCTACCTCTGTGTGCTCGTCTACCGTCTCTTTTTCTTCTATATATATATATATATATCTGTCTCTTTTCTCGTCCTACGCTCCTCGCGCCTTTATTGCGGCAATCTTCCCACGCATCTTCTATCTCTCTCTCTCTTTCTCCGGCGACGACGACCGGAAATTAAACTCGCGCGCGAAAAGCGCGAACCGTGCGTCTCCCGTTCCGTCGGTAAGACGTTGCCCTGTCTCCGCGCGGAGTGTGTTTCTGACTCACAAGTGCGTAGCGTCGCAGTTACCGCTGTCCGGTGTACACCGGGCAGGTACCGGGTCCTTTCTTTCAACGGGTCCGTTTCTCGCGTCAAGTAGTGCGGCCTAACCTCGTCGCGTCTCATCGACAATCGACAGTGAACGGTTTTTTCTGTGCTACGGAATTGTCTCGAAACGCGCGTTGCAAGCAGTGTGAAATTGGCTCGGGTCGCGCACAGTGAGAGACACAATCGTAATCGAACGCAGTGTGAACATAGAGTGAATTCGTTAAAAGTGACGAGTAAATTGTTGCGTCGTTTCAAGTTGATCGAAAAGGGACAGCATCTCTTTCGAACGCCGCCGAGTCGACGAAACGGGAGCAGACACGCCTCTTCCCATTTCTCGCTGCGACCGAGTCGATAAGGACTACGAGAGAAAACCGGGAAAGACGGTGGCCGTCGCTCGCGTGCCCGCAATAATGCCGCACGTGAGCAGCAGCGGCGACGGCGGCGACGAGCTCGCCACCGAGGACGAGATCAAGCTCTACAAGCATGAGGGCGAGGAGGACAAGACGTCCTCGGAGAATCTCACCGAGGACAAGAGCGACCTCATCGACCTTACCGAATCCGAGGTGCGTCGGAGAATCACTCTCTTCGTCGCGCATTTACCTTCTCTTCTTCCCCCCCTCGTCGTTCACTCCATTGTGTATCTCCGATCTCTTCGTTACGCGCGACATCCCTCTTCGTATATATTCTTCCAAAAAAAAAAAAAAAAAAAAAAATACGTATACCACACCACCTCTCCCTGTAGGACATCGAGTATTAAGTGCGTGCATCTCGTGTGTTGCAGGAAAAAGTCGCGCTCGCCGGCGGGAGTTACGCGACGACAGGAAAAGCGTCGACGAGATCCGACCTTAGCCCCGTATTCGGTAAGTCCTCTTGAAATCATCTTTCACGAAACACGCAAGTTTTGAAGCTTGCATTTCTGTTTCTTAGCCGCTTAAGTTATCTTCGCCGTTATCGCGCTCGTGCTCCGTATCCGCCGATAGCTCTCCATTTTTTTTCCGCGTACAGCTGTTTGACGCTCGTAAAAAAAAAAACACACACACACACACACAAGATGAATCACTTTTGTCGCGTAGAATCAGCTTCCCGACATCTCGCAAACTCGACGCGAAATTTCGTCGCGTGAGTTTAATTATTCGTTAGCCTCCCTCTCGTAAGCCAACCGAGTAAACGGGATCGATACACGATTCGTCGTGTAAACAGCTGGCTGAAGGCTAATTCAAACGAAAATAATGCTCGCGGTTAAGAGACGATTAACTTTACAAGGCGCATCGGTGTTGCAAAACGCTCTCCGCTCAAGTTTAAAAGTACCATCTTTTTCATCAAGTATCCGTACAATATCGACGAGTTTGCAAAGCAGGTCGTATATCGGTGTCTCATAAATAACGTAACGTACGCTGGAAGTTGGAAACAATACCGTCTAACTAGGCTACGCGATGCGAGAAAATATCATAGTTAAGATCGATCGATTTCTCGCTGGGCGATACGAGGAGATTAAATAATAAACTTTCAGCGGCGTCGTTTCTCAACGGTATCTCCGCACCTACAGATATCTCTCTCACTCTCTCTCTCTCTCTCTCTCTTTCTCTCGCGCGCGCGCTTAGATTAACGTCATTCGAAATCGATCGCGGGCACGATAAGTGCTCCGGTCTCTCATAGCCGCTTTCACGGTCCGATGATAATCGCGTCTGTGTGCGTCGGCCGGAGAAAATGTGTGACTCGGATTCCCGGCTGTGTGTCCGCTACCCGCCACGGCGCTCCTATTAATTTCCTCGCCATTACGCCGCATTACGTTGCACGTCGTCGAAAGCTTCTTCTACGTCGTCGTCATCGACGGCCTTATTGCCCACATTCTACCGCCGCAATAATCGCGAACGCCCGAGGCAATGACGACAATGACAGTTGGATGACAATTCTACACGATCGCGAGAGCAGGAGAAGGAGAGAGAGAGAGAGAGTTAGCTGCTCTTCTATTGACACGACGTTGATAGCAGCTACTTGATAAGCCGTCTGAAATCGCGTTCTCCTTCCCTCTTGCAAGGATCCGTCACTGAATGACGATTGCGAAACGCGGCGACGAAATTTAGACATGAGCAGATTCGTTGCGAGAATATATACGAGAGTTCATTGTAACATGTACGTCATTTTTTTATCTCATCTTTCATCTGAATATTTATTACTCGCGTCTAAATATGCATGTTAAGGCTGCAACCTAATCAAAAACGATATTTTACCTCAAGAGATAATATTCATCTTCTATAGCCTGTTATGGAAGTGAACGGTGCTCGCGAGACGCGATAACATCACCGAGTGTTTCGTAGAAAAACCAAATTTCAACGTAAACAATGCACGTGTCTCTTGAACGCGTTTCGTGCTTTTTTTCTGGGAAATGAAACGTCGACGATCGTGAGGAGCGTGACGGTCTCTCGCCTCCGATATCGTCTACGAATTCTTGGAATTAGCGCGAATTTCTCTCGAAACCTGAAAGATCCTGTTATCTTTTTACTAGCCGATCACGTCGAAACTGTTGTAATGCTTAAGATTTGCAACAAAAGATTTACGATCTTCACGATATTTACGATATATAATTTTTTTATTTTAGAGAGATATATATGGCTGTATTTCATTATTTCAGGGAAATAATGAATTATTTCAAGGTCAGAGTTTTCTAATTTTTCCACATTTATTTCTCACCTTAAGTACCGAAATTTTCAACGCATTTTCGTATCTTTTAAGAATATCGAGGTTGAGTTTACTTTTTTTTATATCGAGCGAAGTTTACGATGACAGATTTGTTCCGGACAAATCATTCCGACGTGTCAGTAACGTATACAATGAGATGCGTGCCTGACGTTCCCGTTGGCCGGCTCTTCCTCCTCCCTGCCAGACTTTGTCACTGACAAATCGATGTCGCGCTACCGCGCACGCTGTCATGCTGTTGCCAAAACATTTTAATGAGTTAACTTGGCCGCACGTCTCCCGACACGTTGTCTCTTGTTTGAGATGTTGCAGGCGCGATTACGGCACGTATGTGTATGTACGTACTCGCATATATGTATATGTGCGAGAATTATCGAATATATGCCGCAAACTTTCTGACTCTCTTAAAAATATCTCCGGACGTTCCGCGGCTTTCGCAATCTAACTTTGTAATCTCTCAATAATCGCGTTGCCTATTATATCGTATTTTTAAAAAATATATTAATAAACAGCGATAATATCATTCAGATTATTAAATGGTTAGAGTTTCCATTGACCGTATTCTATCGCTTCTACCGTTCACGAATCACTTTCGCTTTATGTATTGATACGCGAGGATACACGCGAGTGGGATGGGAGAGAGAAGGAATCGTTGCACTCTCCGTCAGAAAACGTGCAAAACGTTACGTCGGGATCCGTTGTAATCGCTTAAGTGGTTAATTATATGGCTCTTCGAGGAAGGCCGCGCGCGCGCCAGGCTGGAGCGGAATTAATCTTGGCATCGGCTGACTTCAGTAGAGCTGCTTCTCGTGTTTCTTTTTTTCGTCGCTTACATACACATGAAAACTAGTTATTCAGATATATGCCGAGTAAGAGAAACAGAGATATATATTTATTGCGTGTAACACGTCACATTCTGACATCATTTTTAACGAAACGAGTTGACGTACAATACGATACGTGTATCAGTGCTTCATATATCGGAATCTCTTGTTTTCTTATCAGTATAGTTTACGTGTTTATGATTGTAAAAACACAATATATACAAAACAAAGACGACAACAATTGCGTATAAAAGCATCCGTATTTTTATGTCGAAATTCCTGTTGCACGACGCGGTATATTTCTGTGATAATCCGATGGCATTGCCTGCGTCGGTTACCAGGGATGATATTAACATAATATTGCAAAACGCAATATCCGACATATTTCTTTCCACATAGCTACCCTCTCTTTACATGCTATACTCACTTTCAATAACGCCGTGCACTTCGTTGATATTTATATCGGCTTATTACGTTTTCGTTTGCGACATCCTCGTTACATTTCCTTGCGGAAACGTTGCTCGGGTAAAATCCAAGAGGACTGTCAGACTTCGCGATGCGTATGGTTAATTATCGCAAGCGCTTTTCGCTCGGGGCACAAAATAATTATCGTGATTTCACTATCCAGGTACAACAAAGTGTCGCACGAGCGAAAAGTCGTCTTAAGCGACTGTCAAATCGGGAAATTAAAGTCAGCAGAGCGTGAGATGTGTTTGGTATAAAATCTCGTTTATGCGAAGTTATGGTAGCGATCGAATGACTAGCCGCCGGTGCTTTTATTGCAAGCTCGACCTCTCGAGAGTGAGATCATAAACGTTGAGACATATATTTGAATGTACGATGGTAGTTCGAACTCGGACGATCTCGTGGAATGTCGTGTGCGCGAACTTTCTTCTACTTTTCGCTTTTGTACAAAGTTGAAGCGCGCCAATATCGCGAAAGTGTTACCAGAAGCTACATTTTTTCAGTTGTAAATTTTTTTGTTACCAGATTTTTTTTTTTTTTTTTTTTTTATTGTCAAAATTATTATTATACGATAGTTTTGGATTTTACAAAATGTTTACAATGGAGAAAAGATATTAAAACTGACATATCAATTTGTTTCTGAACCGTGTCTGTAGTTTCTAGCTGAAAGTTCAAAATAAAAATTTAAGTTTTTATTCTAGAAATTACACTCGCTATCAGATTGTCTTATAATTTTGATAATATTGTTTTAAAATTTTGAAATAATGACAAATTTTTTGAAAGCAAACAAAAGTTGAAGTGTTGGTTCCGAAAACCGATATACTCACTGAAACGATAAACTCACTGAAAATCATATAGAAAGATAAAAAGAGATAATAAAAATAGTACAAGTTTAAAAACTTAGACATGTAGAATAATACGATAACAGAAAAGATACGTCGCTATTTAGATTACGTAATTCGAGTTAAATTAAGTCTATAAAGTAATTATATACCTCTTTTGGCAAATTAATATTAAGTTTTGAATAATCAAACTTATATATCGCAAAGAATATGATATAAATTCGACATTGTCCGTGCATTCTTCTTGTTATAAAGTATGGTTGCGATATCTACCTGCGCATTCGCGATTTCTTCCGGCGGTGCATACATACATGGATATTTGCAAAAGCGCGCCTTTCGATATACATAGTTTGTCGCTGCTCGGAAACCGCCTCCGCGCGTCCGGATTGCATCGCGGCGCGCTTCGAGAATCAAGAAACAGAGAAAGAGAGAGAGAGAGTGAGACAGTAGTAAAAAGTGGGAGAGAGTCAGAAACGATGTGTCTCGTTGTGCGAAGTAATTGACGAGTTCGCGTGTAGGCGGTCGGGCGCCTAGATCGCCTCGAGCGCACCATAGGTTTATCCTTAGAGACGAAAAACGAAACGAAACGAGCAGCCCTGACGGGCAAAGCCGAGACAGAGAGAGAGAGAGAGAGAGAGAGAGAAGGAGAGGCCATTTTATCGCGAAGGAGAGGCGTAGAAACGAGGCGAGAGAAAACGAGACGATACGAGAGAGTAAGAGAGAGAGAAGGGAGGAGAGACCCCGCTGCTGCATCACCCTGAACTTGCCCGAATACCTTCCCTTCGGACCGTACGATGTGTATCCGCTCACCAATGCACATGGCACCCAAGCGAGTTCTCTGTCTTCTCTCTCTTTCTCGCTTGTTCTCTCCTCTTCACGCCTGCCTTGTATCGCTCGTTCGATTTCCGTCTCTCTTGGTTCTCTCGTTCTCCACGGCCGCGATTCCTCTCGCTCTCGTTCTCCTCGGTATCCTTCCTTTTCTCCTCTCTCTCTTTTACTCCGTCTTCTCTCGGAGCTAACCCACCCATTTCT